TACCACAATACGGTACCACTACACGATACCACAACACGGTACCCCTACACGATACCACAACACGGTACCACTACACGATACCACAACACGGTACCACTACACGATACCACAACATGGTACCACTACACGATACCACAATACGGTACCACTACACGGTACCACTACACGATACCACAACATGGTACCACTACACGATACCACAATACGGTACCACTACACGATACAACATGGTACCACTACACGGTACCACTACACGATACCACAACATGGTACCACTACACGATATCGTACCAACAGTGTGTCGGGCCGTGTTGGCGCGCTCTGGCTACCACGCGCTCCCGCACGCTTAAGACAGGTGAACAACCCGCTGGTTCTCTTCATTACTCACCACGTACATGTCACTGTTATTGTTGTTAAAGATTCGCTACCTGGAACAAAAAGTTCCAAGTAGCACGGGCTATGGTGAGCCCGTAGTACATGTCACTGTTACGAGAGACTAAGTGGTAACCTAACCTGAAACGTTAGGAACCCCATTTTTTTTTAATTTTGCCCCGAGGGGCGATTTTATTGGGCAGTGTCTTGAGTGGACACACCGTCAATATTTTTTTTTTTTAGTAAAGAGGAAGGGGAGGCATAGGTGAAGGGAAGTATAGAAGTGGGAAATACAGTGAGAGGTATGAAAGCAGGCGGGCTGTCCCCCTTGCTGACACGATGTGTGGGTGTTGGCAGCTAAGCTAAGCTGGCTCCCTCTTGTCAGGGAGCTGTGAGTGTGAGAGAGGTTCTTCACATGTGTTTCACCATATGTGGATGTCCATAGATGAATACTGTGTAGCATTCATATATACACACTCCGATGCTTCCACACAGAGAGAAAAAGATCTAGGAGTTGATATCACGCCAAACCTGTCTCCTGAAGCCCACATAAAAAGAATAACGTCTGCGGCATATGCGAGGCTGGCTAACATCAGAACAGCGTTCAGGAACCTGTGTAAGGAATCATTCAGAATCTTGTATACCACATATGTAAGACCAATCCTGGAGTATGCGGCCCCAGCATGGAGCCCGCACCTTGTCAAGCATAAGACGAAGCTGGAAAAAGTTCAGAGGTATGCCACTAGGCTAGTCCCAGAACTAAGAGGCATGAGTTACGAGGAAAAGTTGAGGGAACTGAACCCTCACGTCGCTGGAAGACAGAAGAGCTCGGGGAGACATGATCACCACATACAAAATTATCAGGGGAACTGACAGGGTAGACAATAATGGATTATTTAAAACGGGTGGTACGCGAACAAGGGGACACAGGTGGAAGCTGAGTACTCAAATGAGCCATAGAGGCATTAGAAAGAACTTTTTCAGTGTCAGAGTAGTTAACAAATGGAATGCACTAGGCAGTGATGTGGTGGAGGCTGACTCCATACGCAGTTTCAAATGTAGATATGATAGAGTCCAATAGGCTCAGGAATCTGTACATCAGTTGATTGACGGTTAAGAGGCGGGACCAAAGAGCCGAAGCTCAACCCCCGCAAGCACAACTAGGTGAGTACACACACAATAATAAAAAAATAAACTTTCGTGGAGGCCAAAACCGTCAATAGTTTCAAAGCGTTATACGACAAAGAGTACTGGGAAGACGGGACACCACGAGCGTAGCTCTCATCCTGTAACTACACTTAGGTAATTACACACACACCTGTTCCACAACACGTGTTAAACAAGTCCCAAACAACAACAGAAGCTCCTTAAACAGACAAACACATCCTCCGAGGAGCGTCAAGGACTCCTTGAGCATTAGCTGTCAAAAAAAAAGAAAAAAGAAAAAAGAGTGCGGGGCTGGAGTTGAGTCTGCCATTAGCAACTCCTGACGGACCTTGCAACTTTCCAGCCGTTAAACCCGAATATCTTAAGGACTGATTGATTAGGCTGTAGTGGCCAGGCTGAGGTGGGTAGGTCAACAACCAACCAACCCACACACCAACCTCTATAATACATCGTTTTTTAACACAAGGTTATAATTACACATCGAAAAATATAATGTACGAAACGACCTTTACGTGCTCCTAAGACGTCTCCCAGGCGTGCGCAAGTGAATATATATTGCGCAATTGCAATATATATATATATATATATATATATATATATATATATATATATATATATATATATATATATATATATATATATATATATATATATATATATATATATATATATTCCCTGCTTAAGACACAACTCTCTTAAACACGAGAGTTAAGTATACAACTTTAGAACACTTTCCTACCAGGAGACTCGAACCCTAGCCAGCACAGAAGCCTTCCAGCAACTGGCATAACAGGTACGCCTTAACCCTCTCCACCACCGCTCAGACCCTTAAAAGAGATGGTAATTTCGGAGTATTTAAATACCACAAAGATCAACACCTCCCAAGAGCACCAGAGCAAGTGAGGGGTCATTTAGACGTTAATTTCATCAAGTCCCTGTTAATATGGGAAGACACAGTGTCTCTGCTTAAGGCACTTAAGGCCTGTTTAAGAGAGTTGTGCCTTAAGCAGAGACACTGTGTCTTCCCATATTAATAGGGATTTGATGAAATTAACGTCTAAATGACCCCTCACTTGCTCTGGTGCTCTTGGGAGGTGTTGATCTTTGGGGTATTTAAATACTCCGAAATTACCATCTCTTTTAAGGGTCTGAGCAGGTGGTGGAGAGGGTTAAGGCGTACCTGTTATGCCAGTTGCTGGAAGGCTTCTGTGCTGGCTAGGGTTCGAGTCTCCTGGTGGGAAAGTGTTCTAAAGTTATATATATATATATATATATATATATATATATATATATATATATATATATATATATATATATATATATATATAGGCAAATAATATTCCTCCAACTTTTGGGTTAACTTTGTATTCTCAGCGTGACTCCTTGAAAGTCAAAACCAAGAGGTGATAGAGCACAGTAAGCCCCAATATGGCCACAGAGACTATCATAAAGGATGACACACTATTAGTCTGCTGTCATTTGGGCAAAAAGAGCTTTTAAAACCTGGGTCTGCCCATACAGCACCACTCCTGTGCCAGGTAAGTCCACTACGGGCTCACCATAGCCCGTGCTACTTGCATCTTTTTGTTCCCAGTAGCTTAACGCCTCGAGACACATCTGGGTACCATAGCCTCTACTTCCCCAGCACGCCGGCGACTAAAAAGGCCGAGCCCAAGAGCTGAAACTATCTTGCAGTTACAAATAGGCGAGTACACCCACCCATGGAGGTCCACCACCCTCTACTCCGCCCCCAACACACGTCTATATAAGATCCTCTTAGCCCAGCTCCCAATTACATCTAATTACCACCCTTAATTACTGTCTTGCCTGAGTGATGTACAAGCCAGTCTTCCAAAGCCCCTAACCTTCCATTCCAGCATTCCAGAAACCTCTTCCGTTCCTTACAAACCCCCCCCCCCCCACCACCATCTTCCCATACCCCCTTCCTTACACCCACAACCACACACTACAAGACGAGTAGCTGCGGTGTAGCCTGAAGTGTTTTTTTTGGGGGGGGAGTAAAGAGGAAGGAGAGGCATAGGTGAAGGGAAGTATAGAAGTGGGAAATACAGTGAGAGGTATGAAAGCAGGCGGCGGGCTGTCCGCCTTGCTGACACGATGTGTGGGTGTTGGCAGCTAAGCTAAGCTGGCTCCCTCTTGTCAGGGAGCTGTGAGTGTGTGAGAGGTTCTTCACATGTGTTTCACCATATGTGGATGTCCATAGATGAATACTGTGTAGCATTCATATATACACACTCCGATGCTTCCACACATGTTGTTCTGTTTAAGGCTCTTTATTTTATTATTATTATTTATCGAGTTGTTCATACATACACATATATGGACTGTTAACATATATGTGTTGTGTTTTAATGTGTTGTTTCCTTAGTGTACCGGTAGTCAACACCCCCCCCCCCCACACACTCGGCCTACACCCCCCTCCCCCCCCCCTCCTACACTGGTGAGAGAAGGCCTACCTGGAGGCGAGATAATTATAGTCTCACCTTGCCTCCATAGACCATTAACTCTTACGACCTTTTGTTCTGATCAATAAGTTAATAACCTGACCCACGACTAATGGTGTGGTATAGCGGGGGAGGGGGGGCGGGGAAGAGTGGGGAGGGGAGCGGGGAAGGGAGAAGAGTGGGGAGGGGAGCGGGGAAGGGGGAAGAGTGGGGAGGGGAGCGGGGAAGGGGGAAGAGCGGGGAGGGGAGCGGGGAAGGGGGAAGAGTGGGGAGGGGAGCGGGGAAGGGGGAAGAGTGGGGAGGGGAGCGGGGAAGGGGGAAGAGTGGGGAGGGAAAGAGCAAGTAGCAAAGGGAGGGAGTGAGGGAAGGAAAATGCCCGCAGAGAAACTAGAAGCTATTATTATTATGTGTTACAATTTTGGGGTCGATTTCACCTTGCGAGTGTGTGGTGAGCGCCTAGTGCCTTGTTACTACCCGGGACACCGCGTGCCTTCACTACACGCTTATCCACTAACTACCAGACACACCCCAGAATTGACAGGGATACACACACCCAGAGGTTTACTCTGGGTGTACACTCACCGAGTTTACTTTGGCTCTGGACTATATCCAGAGTTCGGTATACTTGCTGGATGGTCAGTAAGCACTTGCGGCGGTCTTGACGACCCTCCGGAGATTAACAGGCCATTAAGCCCATCAACGAGCCAACTCGGCATTTGCACTACGAAACTGTTAAGTTATAAATCATGTCTCGAGTCCCAGTTTTGAACAGGCTGACAAACCTAGTCAGACTAATTTCGTATATTAAAGTTTCAAATATGGCAAATGACCAATACAGTCAGGGGCCAGGAGCTAGAGTCTATATAGTTAATGAACCAAATAAGAAAAGCAGCACACACACACACATTAGAATTACCATGTTGGCCAAAAAATTATATAACGAAAAGTTGTAATATCGTACACCAGCAATCAAGCTCTAATTGTCCGTGCCCGTACCTGTAATTATGGCAGAGTGGTTGATGCCGTGAGACCTCTCCACCTCCAGGGCCTCCACCTCCAGCTCGTCCGCACTGTCCACCAGACCTTCGTCTTCGTCTCTCGACCCGTAGCGCTGCTTCAGGTATCTCAACACGGGGTCGTCGTCTGTCCAAGACGCCGTCAAATCAGAAGATCCGAACACAGCCACCAACTCTCGCTCGTCGCATATGGGGTTTTTATCGTTGCGAATTTTGTGTTGATATGAGAGTTGGCGACGATGGTTTTTGTCGTGGCGGTCGTCGAGTTGACCACCATTCCTGCTCCTGTCGTCGTGTTGGTCACATCTCCCGCTCCTGTCGTCACAGTTATTACCGTGGCATTCACCGTCTTCGTCGTTGACATTGCTGTTGGTACTACAGTTGATGTAATTGTCGTTCTTGCAGTAGTTTTGCCACTCGGACCTTCGGGGTCCGGGAGGCAAGTCCCACTTGACTTGCTTCTTCACCTCCATCACCTGCTCCTCTGCTACGTGTATGTAAAGCCACAAGTATACCTAGATAATTTACGGGCTCCCCATAGCCCGTGCTACCTCTTGGGTGGCTTAATCTTCATCAATCAATCATCTGGATTAAGAGACGTCACGGCCCCGCTCCTGTTCCAGGTAAGTCCAATACGGGCTCACAATAGACCGTGCTGCATGGCAACGTTTTGTTCAGAGTAGTTGAATCTAAAACAACAACCTAGATAATTATATATATAATATATATATATATATATATATATATATATATATATATATATATATATATATATATATATATATATATATATATATATAACCAGACCGAACAGAGCTCTCAACACACGTTCAGTGACAATACTAATTAGGTTTGTGTTTTATAAAACGTCCAACATTTAATCTACACTTTAACGTACAAATCAACACACTAATTCGATGGCAACATTCACAAAGTCATCACCATGATCAAAAATTAATTTACAAATAATCACTTTGACTCCATGAATCTATTATCCACTACCTATATCGCCTGGCATTATGCCCAGATATCCATCACTTTTTTTTTTTTGTGTAGATATATCTCCTGGACCAGTCACTGAGCACATGCCATCAAACCACTGTAGCCATGAACAAATCTTACGGCTTCTCACTCCACCAATCTCTACATATATACAAGAGTTGTTACATTCTTGTACAGCCACTAGTACGCGTAGCGTTTCGGGCAAGTCCTTAATCCTATGGTCCCTGGAATACGATCCCCTGCCGCGAAGAATCGTTTTTTCATCCAAGTACACATTTTACTGTTGCGTTAAACAGAGGCTACAGTTAAGGAATTGCGCCCAGTAAATCCTCCCCGGCCAGGATACGAAACCATGACATAGCGCTCGCGGAACGCCAGGCGAGTGTCTTACCACTACACCACGGAGACTGCTAGTATTCACAACAGTACGTCTGAGTGCCGTAGCGACTTTGTGTCCGTAACTTTCATGCACTTTATCACTACACCGTAACTAGGGCACGCTTAGTGTGACACAAGCCACGGTGAAAGGCCAGTAATTATGAAAAAAGAAGGCACCAATTAACGCCGCCTGGAGAAAAAGACCATACACAAGAAGCTTGTAGTCCACCCTTGAACCATCTCCGTTTTTTATGGTCAAGTTTCTGGGATAACAAAAGTAAGTCTTAATTTCCTCCTTGTTAATGTTATCTCGTGCTCCTTGGTCTTATTATCTCTCCGTCTTGACTCAAATGTGTTCTCGCTTCATCTTGGTTGATTTCCTCTTGGGTTCTTTATTATTTTTTTCTTGACTATTTGTGCTGGTTTATTTTGCGTGGCAATTTGATCATTTATTTGTTAGTTGAATTATTTGTTTTCGTTGTTTATTATGATAAGACTCTCTTCCTTGTTCTTGTTACACGTATTCTTAGGCGCCATCAGTCGATGTACCTGTCCGAGGGCTCGACATCGTCCCAGCACATGCCCGAGGGCTCGACATCGTCCCAGCACATGCCCGAGGGCTCGACATCGTCCCAGCACATGCCTCGGTACAATCAATCATCAATCACTGGTCGTGGACCAATTAACACCATCAAGCTCCACTAACCAACTGGTCTCGGGCCACTACACGTGCCAGTGCCACCACCAGAGCGCCCCCTGTGATCCCTACAGTGCCTGGCACATGAATGAGACGACGACGCCGGCTTAGCAGTGCCACGAGTCGACGCCCAGCCATTTTTAAATGCCCCAGTGACGCGTCGGGTGGAAAGGACCCGCCGTGGGAGCCTCGGGCACTGTAACTGGTCTTGTAGTTGTATTATAGAACACCATTCAGGAGGCGGAATGGTTAGTCACGAAATTATTTCTCACCTCCTTCCCCCCGCCCCCCCCCCCAGGACGGGTTGAACTGGGACCAGGAATTATATACAACACGCACTTGTTACAACCTATCATGGTGTTGGACCCTAGCTCCCGGGACCCTTGGATGGCCCAGGACCCCTGCTCAGCGCCCCGGGGAGGTGTTTCCTAGCGGCGAGTGCCCCGGGCAACAAGCAGGGGGGCCTGGGGTAAATGTGACGCGTCCGGGAGGTCACACCCTCGCCAACACCACTCAAAATAGATATAAATTAGATGGATTTATGTCCGTAGGTTAGATTAGCATTTTAAAAGCACCATGTGCACCTGTTGATTGACGGTTGAGAGGCGGGACCAAAGAGCCAGAGTTCGACTCCCGCAAACACAACTAGGTGAGTACACATTACAGGGGCCTGGTAGCCTGGTGGATAGCGCGCAGGTCTCGTAATTCTGTGGCGCGGGTTCGATTCCCGCACGAGGCAGAAACAAATGGGCAAAGTTTCTTTCACCCTGAATGCCCCTGTTACCTAGCAGTAAATAGGTACCTGGGAGTTAGTCAGCTGTCACGGGCTGCTTCCTGGTGTGTGTGTGTGTGTGTGTGTGTGTGTGTGTGTGTGTGTGTGGTGTTAGAAAAAAAAGTAGTTGGTAAACAGTTGATTGACAGTTGAGAGGCGGGCCGAAAGAGCAAAGCTCAACCCCCGCAAACACAACTAGGTGAATACACACACAGACACACACACACACACACACACACACACACACACACACACACACACACAAGACACACACAAGACACACACAAGACACACACAAGACACACACACACAGACACACAGAGACACACACAGACACACACACAGACACACACACACAGACACACACAGACACACACAGACACACAGACACACACACACACACACACACACACACACACACACACACACACACACACACACACACCGTGTTCTGGGGCGTGACAAGCCTTGTCGTCATCAATCTGGTGTTTCCGGTCAGCTAACTTAAAAGAACAACAGTTAAGACACTTGCAAATAATTACCCCTTGATGGCGTGACTCAACAAAGGGCTGCGATGTAGCAGCTGAACCTTGCACTCAACTTTCATTCACCACTAAACAGACCGCGCACGCAACCGCGTTCAGCGTCACACGCGAGGCCGCGGCGAGTAAACAAACATACTCTTGAGTAATTAGTGTGACGGTAACGAACGCGCTCAACCCCCCCCCCCCCCCCCGCCCCCCGCGAGTACAACTGAGTGAGTACTTGTGAGTACTATATGGACATCACCGGCGAGGCCCGGGTCTCCCTCGCGTGTGCTCTAGCGTGGTCAACAGTGGTCTCGGAGAGTCCCAAGATATAGGACCTTCCCGGATGCTTTATTCAACGTCAAATCAACGCTAATTCAACGCTGATTGAATTGAAACCTCATCACAATACTCATATTGTGATGAGGTTTTTGTCCAACAGCCTGGTTGATCAGTCCAGCAACCAGGAGGCCTGGTCGACTAGACCGGGCCGCGGGGACGCTAAGCCCCCGGAAGCACCTCAAGGTAAGGTTGTTCAAGCCAGAACAAAGGGTTCAACACCTCGATGATGGAACACACACTTAGTCTGTCTCTTATCCTTTGCACCAGGAAGGAGGTCTTCACAATACAACAACAACAAAGACTAAGCAGCTCCATAACCCCCCCCCCACGATGAATGAGCGATACATCACATACAAACAGTAAACAAACATGACCAATACAAACAAGACAAAATGTAAACAAACACGACCAATACAAACAAGACAAAATGTAAACAAACACGACCAATACAAACAAAAGCACACGACACAGACACCAGGAGGGTGGGGGTGGGGGGGGGAGAGGGAACAGAGGCAGCAGCAGCAGCAGGAGGTAGGGCATGCCAACAGGTATAGTAATTACCTGTCAGGCCAGGTAGGCTAACTGTACCCGTGTGGATGGTGCGTACCGCTACTGGCCCGTACTGTGTGTACCGCTACTGGTCCGTACCGTGCGTACCGCTACTGGCCCGTACTGTGTGTACCGCTACTGGTCCGTACTGTGTGTACCGCTACTGGCCCGTACTGTGTGTACCGCTACTGGCCCGTACCGTGTGTACCGCTACTGGCCCGTACCGTGTGTACCGCTACTGGCCCGTACTGTGTGTACCGCTACTGGTCCGTACTGTGTGTACCGCTACTGGCCCGTACTGTGTGTACCGCTACTGGCCCGTACTGTGTGTACCGCTACTGGTCCGTACTGTGTGTACCGCTACTGGCCCGTACCGTGTCTCCACAGTATACAAATACACAAAAGGTGTAGAGAGACAGAAATAATTGCATACACGACGAAAAATTGTTTAGGTATACTTATAATGGTGTATTATACACACTTATGACAGTCAATCTAACACACACACATAGGGGCCGCCCTGGTAGGACGAGCAGGGCGGGGCGAGGGGAGTCTTGGAAGGTTATCTTGAGGTTATCTTGAGATAATTTCGGGGCTTAGCGTCCCCTTGGCCCGGTCCTGGACCAGGCCTCCTACTTTTTGTTACCCCTCACCCCCCCAGGAAGCAGGCCGTAACAGCTGTCTAGCTCCCAGGTACCTATCTACTGCTAGGTAACAGGGATATCAGGGTGAAAGAAACGTTTTGCCCATTTGTCTCAGCCTCCACCGGGGATCGAAGCCGGAACTTCAGGACTACGAATCCGAAGCGCTGTTCACCCAGCTGTCAGGCGCCAAGAAGGAAAAATGAGAGGTAGAGAGAATAATTACAATGAGGCGAAGAAAAACAAGTTAGTGAGGGAAGTATGAAGGCAGCGAAGACCAGGAGTGGAGAGAAGGGAGAGAGAGAGAGAGAGGGAGGGAGGGAGGATGACAGGTGTTGAAAGAGGAAACAAGATCACTGACGGAGACCAGTTCATAGAGTGGCCGAATTCCCCCTAACATGCCAGAGCAGTGTTCGTGTGACGCCAACCATTGCTCAGTGTTCTCTAACACAACACTTCAGTCAACCTCGCCATGGGAGAGGACAGCTCAACAGCAGCAGGGAGCCAGATCACTGTGGGCCGCCGGCTGAGCGCCGTCACCCACGTTACAACAAGTGTCAAAGTTGGACAAAGAGTAAATGTTATATCCAGAGAGCGAAGGTGTTAGTAGGTCAGTCTCAGGAGACTATGGAGTTGTGCTCTGCTTGTCGGTCTGGAGTGGTCTCACCAGGGCGCAAAGCCAGGGTAGGTTGATTCGGGGGAGAAGCTGTTACCCAGGCAGCAGGTCCCCTCAAGGTGTTACCCACTTTATATACAAGTGA